GCAGTGCGAGGCCGAATTAAATTTTGGACTGGTTTAAACCCTGGGCAATTTTCCCCTCCAGGCCTGCGGTTCCCAGCTGCCTGTTTTCCATCTGTAGCTCTGAAGGCTGCCGCCCAGTTTTAAGATAAACCCGAGGGGAGCATTTCCAGCTGCACGGGGAGTCTGGGCGCTGGGGCGGTGATGGAGACACCCGCTACCCATGCCACACGTGACCCCGCGTCCCATGGGGCCATGTCCCCCTCCAGCTGCCCTGCCGTGCCCCCATGGCCCCCATCCTGCTCGGGGCAGAGCCGGGTGGTTGTGGGGCTCCTAGGGCCCCTCGCTCGGCGGGGACCTCAAGTGAGGCCAGGCGGGCCCTTTGGCAATGCTGCTGCCGGGGCCCAGTGCGCGGGGTGGGGGTACCTGGGTGGGGACAAGGGCGGTGGGGACACCCTGTTATCCCCACACCGTGGTGTCAGGCAGATTGAGGCGGTGGGAGGCCACCCACGGGTGTGTGGCTGGGGGGACCCCAGTGTCCCTGGGCAGCTGCATCCACTGTGGTGGGGCTTGTGAGCCTTCCCTGGGGCCATAACTGCAGGGACACAACCCAGCCTGTCACCAGTGGGGACCCCACCCTGCTGCAGCATCCCTGGGGGCGCTGCCATGGCAGGTTGTTGTAGCTGGTCCCTTGACCTGTTTGTGACCAGTGGCTGTGCTGCTTTGCAGCCTCTGTGGGGGCCTGAGCAAGCTGGGGGTGCTGGGCTCCTGCAGCAAGGTGCGAAGTGGAGATGTAGCCCTGCTTTGCACCTGACTCCAGGCAAGGGCATGCGCGTCGGACAGCCGCGGTTGGCCCTTCATGAGGGTTCACTCGTGGCTGGGGGCTCTCGGCTGGGTTGTCGTCTGCTTGTCCAGCTTGGGTTGACATGGCAGGGCACGACAGCGTCCCCCTGATGGCCGAGCCCTTTTCCTGGGGTGCTGAGCGTGTTGTAGCAGCTTTGGTCCCTGGGATTCCCCAGCACCTTTTGGCTGTTGCATCCTTCCTTCAACCCCTGCCCTTCCCCAGCCCCGATCCTCCTGCCTGGTGTGAGCGAGGTGGATGCACACAGCTGGTCGTGTTTGCTCTCCTTTCATAGGTCCCTGCATTTAAGCCCTGTATGGTGCTGGTTACTTGTTTACCTCTTCTGCACTGTAATTTTTAGTTCTTACTTCTGTCCTCCCATTTCCTGTCTGCGGGTAGTCACAGAGGCACTTTATTATGGTGCCTGTGGGACCGCTGTGTATGCTCTTGGGGCTGGTGGCACACAGGAGTGGTTTCACATCACCGGTGGCCGATTGTAACCAGGAGGGCTGTTTGACACAAGCCTACGGTGTGTCCCTGTGGGCTGTTCGGAAATGCCACTTCCTTCGCACAGCACGTGCTATGGCGTTCGATCGTGTGGCGCGGCTCCAGCCGCTTCATTTTAGAGCAATTTAAATATTCTTGTTGCAGCTTTGCTAAACCACTGTAGCTTTGGCTGCAACTTTGCATTAATAAGGAATGATAAAGCCCTTTAAACCATTTAGGATTCTCTTAAACAGTTGGTCCATGGGTATCTGGTAATCACTGTCTTGTCACATTCCACTGCAGCCTGTCCAGTCTCTTAATTTGTGTTTCAAGCAAGTGGTGGTCTTTTCACCACGCACTGGTTTATGAGAAGTTGAAAAGGGAGGTTTGGGCTGAAATGTGGTCCATGGGAGAGTTTGGAACTGAAGGCAACTTCTGCATCCCAGCTTCTTTATAAAAGGCTGCTCTTGTCCCTGTCAGGAGCATAAAGCTATAAATCAGTTTCTGCATGCGGAAGAGTAGAGTGGGGGATGGGGTGGGGGGGGTTATTGTGTGGTTTTGGTGGTTTTTTGTTTTGTTTTTTTTTAAGGGATTCCATCTATAGAAAGACAGCCAGGACAGTTAGGAAGCTCAGACATTAGAAAGAAAGTGGTAGGAAAGACATTTCATCAGGCATCTGAAATGCTACTAAGTCTCCAGTTTTCAACAGAGTGGGTCAACTATAATGTTCTAAGGGTGACTTTGCAAATAAAACACCAGCTTGTGATGATTTCTTTGTTTGTTCTAGATTTTCTCCATGACTTGGGGGAAGTGGCTGCAGTGCAGATTTTCGAACTGGAGTGTGTGACTCAAGTTTTAAGCATTTAACTTCTATTTTTTATATTCTTCAAGTCCCATCTGAGGATGAGACTGAAGATGCGCAGCTACCTCAAGTGACGTGTACTAATGGATAGTATTCTGAGTCTGTGCCCCTTCCTAGAAATGTTGCTTTTAACGAGTTGCCATTGCAACTGCCTTTTTTTTTCCACTGTGGCATCTAACTGGAAAATTTGGATATGGTTTGCTGTCAGCGGCAAGTAGTTGCTGCAATTAGAGACAGGTTATTAAAGAAAAGAAAATAAGTGGTTGCATGTGATACCCTGTTAGCAAGGGGCAATGAGCAGAATTTTCATGCTTCAGGATGGGTTTGGGAATTTTGCTCCTGCGGAAGGAGGAGTAGAGGGAGCTTGGTGGAGAGGGACTGGAAACAGCAGAATCTGATGCCTGGTCAGGAGACCTCTCCTTCCCCTAACACTTTCAAGGTACTGTCTTGCCAGAAATCCAAGCTCATCCCAGGCTGGGGCATGTCGTGGCAGAAAATTTAAAGTTATTTGAGCATTGCTAACCTGTTTTTGTCTTTTTCATTTTGTTCCCCTTTGCTTCATCTTGGATGTCTAAAAGGACAGTTGGAACCAATAAATGAGGTGAGTTAATCTGATGATTCACTCTCTGCTCTGTCTCCTCTCTCCGTCCTGAGGGGATTGTCTCGTATTTTCTGACTCTTTACTGATGTCCTAGATATAAGTAATGCACCGCATTTTGGGCTGGTAATTTTTTCTTTTTGCAATGTTCAGATTTTGTTTATGGAAGAAACTGTGTGTTTTACTGGAGCAAAAAGAAATGTTCCTGTGGAGTCTCCTCTGCAGACCTGCGTTCCTCAGAGGAAGCCCCTTTGCCTGGTGTGGTAGTGCCCTTGTAGCTGCACATCTGTGAATACTGCAGATGGCTCAAGTATTTTGGGGGGATATCTATGGAGAAATTCTCACATGCTTTATTTCTTCAGCTTCTCAGGAACATTTCAAGGTCGCATACGATCGTAAAGCGATTCGACCCTGTGTGTGCACGTGCTGTGCTCTTGCAGCTGCGTGTCTCCCCCTATGACTACGGAGTGATGCCCTTTATTAGCAATGCCCTTGTGCTGCTTAATGAGCCTTCTTACAAACTGCAGAAGTTGGTGCTGGTGTGGGTGGGAAATGGGCTGAGGTTTGGCTTTCTGCTCCTCTTGAAGCAAGCGGAGCTTTGAAGCGGAGGGAAGGCTGTAGTAGGGATGGCGTGGAAATGGGGCAGCAGCCTGTTGCTTCTCTGATGGGGTGCTCACACCCCGTGGCTGTAGCTGCAAAGGAGCACTGTTATCAGGGATGCTACCAGTGCCACCAAGGAACCGAAGAAATGCAACACTTTCCTGGGTCAAGTAACTTCTTTTGAAAAAAAAAAAAAAAAAATCATTGAAGGTTCTTCATTAAATTAATCATTGTAGCAGAGGGGAGGCGTGTGCATAGCATGCTTTTGCTAATCCATTGTAGTGGCGAGTTTGTCAGGTTGTAATGCTGTATGTGTATGGATCATGCAAATACCACGTGCTGATACATCTACAGGGACGAAATGTGTTCATGTTGCTTGTTAAGATTTTCAAATTAACTAGACCCTTGCCGGGTTAAATCGGAGCTTTCACTTACCTTCTGCTTTTAATTCCTTCTGTTGTACATTTGCCGATCTATTAGTTTGTTGATGTGTGTGAAAGAATAAGCATGTTTCCACTTCAGCATATTGCTACGCCATAGTGTTTTGTAAATCACCCTCTTGCCAACCTACATAATAATACATTGCTACTAGAGAGAAAATACCTGCAGCGAATGCTTATTTTTCTGCCTTGTTATGGCATCAGTGAAGTTGGGCTGGTAACTGCATAGCACTTGTCTGTTGATATAGATGGAATAAATATAGTTCTTAATGTTCTGTTGCAGAAACACAAACATAAATACAGCTGAATGTTATTTCTCAATAGCTACTGATGGGTTGTAATCTTGTACTTTGGTTTCCAATGGCTTCAGGGTCTGCTCGCTAGAATCTCGGATCTCTTGCTGTGCCGGTGGACTTGTAGAAATTGTTGTCAGAAGTGTTTCGACTGTAGCTGTTGTCAAACAAATGAAGATGAAGTTGAAATCCTGGGACCTTTTCCTGCTCAAACTCCAGCCTGGCTGTAAGTTTAGATGCACAATTTCATAGCTTTAACTGAGGAGTAGGGCAGTTCAGCTGCGATGAGAGTATTGATAAAGAGTGGTGATAGGATGTTCAGAGGATGCCATGTAGGAAGGAGGAACCTCCTGCTGAGGGTGGGAATGTAGGCTACTCAATGGCAAGGTGAAAAAGGGCAGCCCCGTTAGCTCGAACAGGAGGGCTAGTCCTTGTAAAACACTTTTCTGATGAGTAAGACATAAGTTATTTTGTAAGCTCGCATAGCTAGCTGATAACTGGTTTCGCTGTGCACCTTTTTCTAAAGATGCTTTTCTTCTTCAGTCCTATTTCCTCTTCAAACAGACCAGCCCTGTAGAGCACTTCTACTTAGCTGAAATGCTGATGAGGTTGTTTGGAAACATTTTCTTATCCTAGCGTGAAGGTGGTTACCATATAGGCAGATGAAAGGCGTACCTTGTGCGTGCTCTGAAGGGGAAATTAATCCAAAGTTTCATTTAGCAAGACATGATCTCCCGCATCATCTTAGTACTCTTCAAGATTTCCTCTTGAATCATTAAAGAGCAACAGCGGCAATGCCAGGTTTTATCTGGGGCTTTGATTAGTGTTTTTGCGAATCTATTATAAAGAAAGTCAGGGAAGTCTTCCTTGTTCTACTCCCTCTTGTTTGGGAATTTGCAGCCCAAAAGTGACCCCATGGAGGCATTAGTGAGACCAAGAAGGAGGAGGGGTCTCCTGTCTTTTAGGGTCTGCTCTGTTGGCTGGGCTGTCTTCTGTGAGAGCAGATCATTTGATGGACGCAGCTTCGTCGCGTCTGGAAGCTGTGGCACGGGAGATGCCTGTTCAGTGCATCGTGTGATGCTCAGAACTCAGTACCTAGGCACCGAGACGCTCAGTTAACTTTATCTGCTCCTGTGAAAACATGCTCTTATTCTGGGTCAGGTCTGGAAGGTCCATGTCTTGGTGCTGCATGAAATAAATTGTCTCACGTTTAAATACTTGTCTTGTCTATATACTCTTTTGAATCCAAGTAGAATAGGATGGTAATTAATATCAAAGCAATAAAAATAGAGATGTTCAAGATGTGATAGAGTGTTTTTTAAATGTGGAGCAGCATATTTAGGAGTTTGATGTATGCCCAGAAATGGATTCACCTGCAATTAATGGGAAATGGAAACAAAATCAATGCTAAATAGGAAAGCGTTGCGCCCAGGAGCACACAGTGATGAGGCTGCAGTATTGGATGTAGAAGATTGCTGCAGGAACAATTGCATACTTGGGAACAAGTAGCTGGGTTGGATGTGAGAGGATGCTTTGGAGTTTCTGTGGTGTGCTGAGGAGCAGAAGGGACATAATGTGTGTTTGGGGGTGTGGGGTGATTGCCCCACAGTGTGGTTTTTGACTGATGGATCCATCTGTCTGGCTAAGGGGGCCATTGTAAGCACTGAAGCTCTGTTCTTCTTTTGATCTCAAAACTTGGATGTATGGTGACTTTGCCACAGGCAGAGAACATGGAGACCTTTGGGCTCATAAAATGCTCTCTCCAGCTTATGTTGTTTTCTCCCAGTCCTGCTCCATCTGAAAGCCTCTATGATTAACTTACTGGAATGGCCATAAGCAGAAGACGGTGCGCTCTGAAAAAAAAAAAAAAGCCCAGTTCTTCATGTTGCGCTATATGCTGCACCTACTCATGCTAGCAGCCCTGGGTAGGGTCCCCAGGACCCCAGCCTAGGTCATGCATCCATCTTCCCTTCCAGCCTTAGGGAATCTGGTCAGTTAGGGTCTCCCTGTTCTGCTCTAGCGCTAAGAGGTGAGATCCAGAGGTGGTGCCTGAGGGGGGCAGCCTGTATCCAAGAGGAGGACACAGGAGAGCAGTAGCTTTGCTTTCTGAGGAGGAGTGGATGCTGCCATGCCTTAAGGTCGCTGAAGTCACCATCTCCTCTGGCACCATTGCAAATCCTGTGATCCCTAAGGATGCCTGTTAACACACGTCGATGTGGAAACTGGAGATCAGGCTTTGCTTGCTTGAAAAGGCTGTTGGCTCCTCTGCTGGAGCTGGGGTGGCCTCAGGGTGGTGCCAGGGAAGATGGCAGTGCTGTAAGCTTCCAGGGTGACTTTGTTGGGAAATGGTGAGGGAACCCAGAAGTGAGGCAGCAGAGGAGATACAGAGAGGGAAAGGAGCCGAGGAGACATGATTGAGAGGAGAGGGGGAGAAAATGAGCCTGTAGAGGAGCAAGAGTCTGGAAGACGAAGAGGAAAGGAGAGTAAAAGGCAGGAGACAGCAGCAGTGTATTTTGTTTGCTGATCAATAGGAGGGCTATGCTTTTTGTGTGTGCAGGTTTAAGGTGGAAATGATCCCATGCAGCCTCTGCTGGCTCAGAATTCAGAAGCTGAAGAAGATTTCTATTTTCACTATGTTGACCTTGTACTCTAAATCTCCGTATGTGTTTTTGGAGGTAGGAAACAATGTCTGGAGTTAAATGTTACAGTAAGGGTTTGGAATTGGTCTCAGAATAAAGTGTTTAACGGGTATGTTTTTAAGTGCTCGGAGATCTGTGTATGCCAATTGACCCCTCGTCCTTTTTTTTTTTTATTTTATTTTTTGAAAAGGGGGCTTTGGATTTAGTGGAAACCCCTAAAATGGAAGAGGGATTTGACACCACCATATTCTGCATTTAGATGTGTGCATTGAATTTGGGAACAAATCAATTTATTGTATTCTCTGCTTGCAGCCCGAAAGTGTTTTAAAAATAGATCTAGGTTTTCAGCTGGGATCTTTCTATCTTGCCACTTCGTCACGGGCCCAGGACACTGGTGTAAGGCAGAATGCAGTCTGCTCCTTCCTTACCTCCCCGCCCAGTCCCCAGAGGAAAACTGCTTTTATGGTCTTCATTGGCCATTAGCAAACATCTGAATGCCTGTGCTTAATAATCCATAATTTATTTTTTGCCCGTACGTGTTCCCTTTGGCAGCTCTGAGGCACCTCATTCTCCTGGAAATTGAGGAGGGGATGTTACAGCTGTAAGTTCAAGCCCTTCATCTTGGGGGACTTGATTTTTCTCACTTTCTGAATTTTTTACTGTGACAACTTAGGAAAAAAAAATCTTACTGAAGGGAGTCTTAATTGCGTTGACCTGAACGCATGCTAGCTGCTTGTTATTTCATGAGGAGCGCTTGCATCCTGGTCTCTGCAGAAATGGCTGGGAGCGAGGGTGTACGCTGGCTGCCTGTTGTGGAATATTCTGCATAAACCCCCAACGGTGCAGGGTCTGTGAGACTGAATTGAAATCAGGACGCAGCTCCTCTTCCCAGAGGTTTGGATTAAACAGAAACAGAGCTACTTTAACCAGAGCCAAAGTTTATTTGAGGAAAAATTATTGTGGCTCAGTAGCAATTTCCTTACTGAAGGTCATCTGTATGTTATTAACTCACTATTATGTTTACCCACTGTAGAACATCTTTAATGCCTCTCTTCCTGATTCCCTTTTCACCCTGCCTTCTCCTCGTTCTGTGCATTTGCTTCTCAAACACAGGTATATCCAAATGCTGCCTATGATTGCGTAGACCCGCATTTAGGCATGAAAAAGCTGTTTGTGTTCCAAGCACTGATTATATGTCAAACTGCATGATCTGGACTGCCTTTAATGGGCTGCAGAGCTGTGCAAATATTGTATGCCCCTTTTAGCATAGGGTTTGGTTTTGATTATTAGCAGCCTTTTTTTTTTAATGTGGATGAGTTGTGTGACTCTGGGTTGGTGAGACTTGCATGGATCCTGGTGTGAACTTTGTGAATTTGGTAAGAAGCTCCCATTGAAATCTGTTTTATATTTGGGGGGCCTTTTCTGTGAGTTTACTGCGTTTTGCAGAATATATTTATTGCTCTAGTCCAGTCTTTGGTTACTAAAGCAAATGATTCAACATATTTTGTTTATACCCAACCAAGCCATGCATGTAGAAAGGGTGAATCAGGAGCAAAACTCACACAGTTATTTCTCTTTGCTTTGCTCATTTCATGCTGATGCTTTCCTTGTGATCCACTGCTGGTTTTTGGAGTGCTCTGTCTCATGGATTAACCAAAAGGCTTCTTTTGCATGATGCGCTACACATGACATACCACTGTGTGCTTTGATTTCCATCGGCAGATGTCTGCCAGCCGCTCCCCTCTGGAGGTGCAGTTGGAGACTTTATCTCCTGCATTTGGTACTGCCTGCTCTTGCTCTTCTTTCAGTCAAGGTTGGGAGGTCTTGACTGCTTCTGTGAGCCGCTGCAGCTATGACACGTTGAGGTTTTTAATCAAAATGTTGTTTTATACGAAAATAAAATCTCAATATATATTCTCAATATGTAATCTCAACTGAAATGGGAATTACACGTGGATTTCTTTATGATGCCAGTCTTCTTTTGAGTCTTCTCAATGATGCTACAGCTCTCACTGCAACTTGCTTTGTAATATAGATCCTGCCAACTTCCCTGCTCCCACCAAGACCCCTGGGCAGTAAAATTATTGTCTTGGGAGAACCACATCTGCTTTACAGAAGTGGATAAAAAGCACCCCATTATTTAAAAAGGCATGTTAATAAGTAGCTGTTAATTAATTGCATTTATAAGTTTGAGTTTTGAAACCTCAGTGATGTACCTGCAAAGCACTGTTTTACTGAGAGGGGCATGTAGTAGGTTTGAGATGCCTGTGTGGTGGTTTCCCACACTGGTTCATCCTAGTGAAGGCTGTGCTTCCAAAGTGTAGCTGTGAATTTACAGCAATAAGCTACTGTTTGGGTTTTGTGGTTTGTGGGTATTTTTTCTCCTTTCTTTTTTCTTAAAGACACATATAACACTTCTGATCAAAATCTGAGTCACACATGCCTGCGTGGCCTCTGTCATGCTCTAATGCTGATATAGCTCTGTTTGAAAGGCAGGCAGAAAGATAAAGCATCTGTTTTTTACATAGGTCTGAAGTCAGTTGCTCGGCCTTTTGCTTGCCAAATAGATGAGGAGATACCCCGCAGCATCCAGGGATGTGCACCCGAGATTAGACCCAGAATACCAGCATGCATTTTTATTCTGTATGTACTCCTTTGACTCGGTTGAATCACCCAAAGGTCTCTCGTTCTGTTATAACAGGATAAGCAGCCAAAATGAGGACAAAGATGGAGACTCTGATAATACAATCAGTGAGCTGCCTCCCACTCTTCAGGACATTTCCCCTGACAGAAGGCGGTCGTCTTCAGATGCATCACGGTCCACTTACAGCCTCACGAGGCGGATTTCAAGTAAGGTCGTCCTTCCAACATTAATGTAATTCTTGTGGGGAAGAAAATCAAACTGTAGTGCTTGCTCTTTCATCTTTTAGACAGGGAATCAAGTAAAGTCGGAGGTACATTGATTAAAATATCTGTGCAGGAGCACAGTGGAAGGGGCCAGCACTGTTTTTCTTGCTGAAGCATATGCATGGTAATTAGACGTAAAAATGGTGTGTGTGGGGGGAAGTGTAGCTGAGCTTGCACTTCAGTGTAACTAAGGGTGCTCTTAACCATTGGCAGCGTACTGGTGAAAGGTCTCACTGGGGAGCCTGCGGTGCTGGGCGTTGCACGGGCACAGAATAACTGTACCCGAAGAAGCACAGGCTGACTTGTGCCTGTCATGGCCTCAGCTGAGTTTCTAACAATCGCGTTTGTGCATTTCTCTTGTCTAGGTTTAGAGTCGAGGAGGCCGAGTTCTCCGTTAATTGACATTAAGCCTATCGAGTTCGGAATAATAGGAGCCAAGAAAGAAATAGTTCAGCCAACTATCCTGCGAAAAACCTATACCCCAGATGACTATTTTAGAAAATTTGAACCAAGACTGTATTCTCTTGACTCAAATAGTGATGATATGGACTCCTTGACAGATGAGGAGATCTTATCGAAGTATCAGCTGGGCATGCTGCATTTTAGCACTCAGTATGACCTGTTGCATAATTATCTAATAGTGCGAGTCATTGAGGCTAAAGATCTGCCGCCTCCGATTTCTTACGATGGTTCAAGACAAGACATGGCTCACTCCAACCCCTACGTGAAGATCTGCCTTCTTCCTGATCAGAAGAACTCCAAGCAGACCGGAGTGAAACGCAAAACGCAGAACCCGGTGTTTGAAGAGAGGTACACATTTGAAATCCCCTTTTTAGAAGCCCAGAGAAGAACTCTGCTTTTAACCGTAGTGGATTTTGACAAATTCTCGCGCCATTGTGTTATTGGCAAAGTGTCAATGCCCTTGAGCGATGTAGACCTTGTGAAAGGCGGACACTGGTGGAAAGCCCTTGTGCCTAGTTCTCAGGTAACAGAATTTATCAGATTATTGCCACAATTTTTCTCACTGTTCTTTTGTGCGGTTCCTTTGCTTGTTGGCAAGTAATGCAGTGTCTAATTAGTCATTGTCATCTTGTTAATACAGCATCTGCTGGGTTGAAATCATGTTGGGCCTATGACTGGTCTTATAGCTAACACAGTGAGGTAGAGGAGCTGTGCTCTTTCATGTTCAAAGGAGGTGGCATGACAAAACATCCTATGCCAGCTCTAATGAGAATAAATCACGACTGCTTTGGAAGCGTGCACCTTTTGGAAGAAGTGCCCTGCATCCATTCCCAGGCACTGCAGTGGCACTGTCCCATCTCAGTCACCCCTGTGGCGTTAACACGACTGTGCTTTGGTGTTGTGGTTTAATCCCGACTGGCAGCTGAACATCACCAAGCCGCTCGCTCGTCCCCTCCCCCGTCAGTGGGATGGGAGAGAATTGGGGGGGGGAAAAAAAAGTAAAGCCTGTGGGTTGAGATAAAGACAGTTTAATAAAGCAGCAGAGGAAAATAATAATAATAACAATATACAGAACAAGTGATGCACAATGCAGTTGCTCACCACCTGCTGACTGATGCTGAGCCCGTCCCTGAACAGCGATTGCTCTCCCCCCAGCCAGCTCCCTCTGAGCACAACGTCATATGGTATGGAACAGCCCTTGCGCCATTTGGGGTCAGCTGTCCTGGCTGTGCCCCCTCCTGGCTTCTTGTGCCCCTGGCAGAGCATGGGAAGCTGAAAATTTCAAAGCCCTTGACTTAGTGTAAGCAATGCTTAGCAACAACTAAACCATCAGTGTGTTATCAAGAGTCTTCTCATGCTAAATCCAAACAGCACTATGCCAGCTACTGGGAAGAAAATTAACTCTATCACAGCCGGAACCAGGACATTTGGGAACACGAGTTGAACCACTGGTGCCAGTTCAGTAATAATTTGATGCCAGAAAGTGTATAGAAGACATATGGCATAATGCACAAGTGAAAAATTGCGAGGTAGCGATAGATTTATTTTCATCATGTCCCTGGAGGAAATAAACTTGCTGCAGATTTTGTCTTATTTAAGTGGCATGTTGTATGCATGCAAGTTGGAGTGTGAATTTTGGACTAGATTCAACCATCAGATGGGATGGGAGGAGAGGGTATAGAGGGTCTGCATGCTTCCATGTCTGTTCTCAGAATAGGGCCCTGGACAGTGCCACCTCCTCTCCAGCCAGGAAAAGAGCTGTTCAAAGGGAAAGTCTGAACTTTGAAGCCAGGAACAGTGGTTAGCTACCAGATTTGCTACTAGCCGTATCACCTGCATAGGTAGAGGCGTAGGATGCTGTAAAAAGCCAAGCTAAGAGCTTGTCATGAGCGCCATCTCTGGCATTTGTGCTAAGGACAGAGTAGCACTCAAGGTTGGTATAACACGATTGCCTCTCCCAGTTCCTCACCAGCTCTGGGACTGCAATTCCTAAGTTTCAGAGCCTTTGCTGAATCAAACCCCTGCGTGAACTCAGATGGTTCACAGTTTCTTTGATTTGTATGTGTTCACAGAAGGGTGGCATAGCCAGAGGTATTAGACAGGATGAACGTAAATCATTGACCTCACCGCTGATTTACGGTGTGGGTCCGAGAGTCTGATTTGGTGTGGAAACTTGTGATCAGACACTTGTGGAAGTAAAATCCACCACGCAGTGGTTATACGCAGTCAGCCGGGTCGCTGACTCTGCTTTGCCCCCTCTCTGTGTGCGGGGGGGCTGGAGAGCGCTTTTACCTCTCACTCCTACCCTCTGCAGTGTGTAAGGGAGAAGGTTGAGACCCCTGATAACTGCAAGAGAGCCCACTAAGATTTGCTGTAATGGAAGTAGGAGTGTTACGGGATTAGCCTGAACATCGTTCATGCAAAAAGGAAAGTTCTGAAAACTGTGCCTAAGTCAAAACTGTGGGGTCCCTGAGTGTGCTGTTATGTAGGATGTGTCTTCACGTCAGTGGGATCTGCTTTGCTCCGCAGAGCAGCAGTGGGGGGTGAGGGGACAGCTGTGTTACGACACGGTTCATAAGGAAAATGGACGAGGACAGATATGATTCCTGGGCTCCCCTCACCGCCTGGGCCTTTTCCCCAGGTGTTTATTTACAAATGCCTGCAACAGTTTGTTTCTTCTTGGCATTTGTGGTTCATTGCAGGCTCTGCGTTGTGTATTTGAGGGCAGAGCTCTCCTCTTGGCATCCTGTTATCCTCCCATGATTTACACCGTGCAGCCTTGCTTTTTCCCTCCCCTCTGCTTTTGCATGATAAATAGTTCTCTGTATTATGTATCTCTTTATTAGTAGCATGGATTCATTCCACAGCTAATACAGACCTTGATTAGACAAGATCATCTCTGCCTTCGTGTGCCAAGCTCGGAGCCAGCCCTTCCTCCCTCCCTCTCCCAAGTTTCATTGAAAGCTGCTGCTGTTTTCAGCAGTGCTGTCTGCTTCATCAGGATTCAAGATAAATTATTTATGCAGAAATTGGCATTTCTGATGTTTATAAAAGGAAGGAGAAAAAGAGGAAACTCCCTTTGAATGGGCAAGCCTAACCTTACAAGCCTTTTGCATTTCTCTGCTTGCTATCATATGGAAAAACTTAATTTACACAAAAAGTCCTTTGCACCTTCATTACTGAAGTGCCTTGTTTTGGTCTTTTCATATTTTCTTGTATCCAGGGATATCCAGGTATCCAGGGAGGGTGTTTGATATCATCTTCCCATGTTTTCTCAGTGATAAGATTTTTAAGTTCATTGAATAAGGTGTATTTTCTCTTAGTGGTGATTAAAGTTAAATGCATTGATCAAAGGGTTAAAATAAGTCCTGGAAGAAGTAAACCAGTAAAGCTTATTCCTTTGAAAAATGACATTTTAATCTTTCAATAATAGTGATGCTGGTGCTAGAAATTTGAGAGGCTTTTTTTTTTGATTGCTAGTTGAAAGATTCTGCCTGTGGAATGATAGACTTGATACGTTGACAACTTTTTCTATACTTCTTGCTTATTTTTTGCTTGATTAGTTGAGGGACAGGCAGCCTTTATTAGTTTCTTGTTGGATTGAACATGAGTCCTTTCTGATCGTGAGTCGATGACAATTTTTCAGTCTGGGTTTGCCGCCCTGGGGCTCTGACAGGGAGCAGCAGCTGGCAGCAGCATCCCCAGCGATGAAGGTCGGGGTGCAGAAAATGCCGAAGCAGGTGTTTGGAAAACCAGTAACAGGCGGGAGAGAAAAACAGGCAGGCATAGATGTGATATGTAGAGATGAAAGACAAAAAATATGTGATTTTAAAATGTTTTTTTAACTGGCATTTATAGACAAAAACATGATGAGCTGGAGAGATGGAGGAGAGCGAATCCAGATGGCATGAGTTGTGGAGGTTTTCTCTTCATACCAGTGGGAGTGGGATGGGGCAAGGTCTGTGGAAGAACAGAGGAAGTGGCCTAAAAGGTGTTGGCTAAGATGAACATCTGTTTTGCACTTGCTGCATCCACCTGGAAGCCATTGCCCTGGAGCGCGCTGGTAAAGGCGGGTGCTGGGTCCTTGTCCCACCCTCACACTGAGCCTGTCAAGTCCAGAACCGGGACACTGCCCCAGGACAGGACTATGCCAGCAGGAGCATAAAAAATATAGGGGATGCCAGCAATTTCTTGGTGTCTGGCATTGGCGGGGGGGGGTGGGTTTCTCCCAGACTGAGGCATGGTCCAGATTCTGCAGCCGATGACTCCATTGACTCCACTGTGAGCTGGGCCAGGATAAGCTCCTTAAAGCTATGAGATGGGATGTACAGCTCTTCAAGGGGTGAAAGCCCATCATCATATGTAGCAGAACATTGTTCCCACCTCATGGAGTTGGTTGTTAACTAACAGCCTGAGAACTTACCTTGGGTGTAAGGAGGGGGGCTGTGCAGCATTGCCATACTCATTAGGTTGGGAATGGGTTGTCAGAGAACCCCAGTGTGGGTTCCCTCAGCCTTGCGGGATCAGTGCAATAAACCACTTGATGCTAAGATTCAGGCAAAAGACTGTATCTGTGTATAAGTGCTTTTTTAGCTTGAATCGTGTGTTCAGCGCTTGGTGGGATTGAGTCCAGAGCGGAGGCAGAGGGGAGCTGCCGTCCAGTACATCACCAGAGCCAGCAACTAAGCAGAAGGACTTATTCCCCATAGAAAATGTCAAAGTAGGTATTGCCAAATTCTTTATCCCTGGTAGTTCTGGAACGTTTTTTCTTGCAGAGTAATTAATGCGTTTCTAAATAGCAGTAGCTGCTCATGCAGTAGCTCTTGAGTCCAGTCCCCATAGGAACACTCTGCGCTCCTTAAATATCCCCTTAAATGTGTGTGGCTTTGCTTAATTACCATGAATGAAGTTGGCAGGCCTTGCTGTAGCTGGGCTCAGATTCACACATTTCGACGTTAAGATTAATTCTGAAGCACATGTTTGGGACCCCAAGTTTTATTGACATATGATTCATTTCTCTCTTGGCAGATTTGAGTGGGCAGGAATAAATGTTTTAGACCAGCAGTAATGAGAGCTTGGAGATCATTCCACAAAAGAAAAAAAAAAATTGCCTGGTTGTGGTGGGAAAATAGCATAAAAATTCCTTCTCCCCTCAAATTAAGCCATTTTTATAGTAGAGGGGGTATGTATTGGACTTGATTTTTAACTTTGTACTATGAGTGCGCTAGGATGACAGTCATTTAAGGAGCTGTCAGCTTTTTACGTTCTAGGTGATAGGTGCTTCAAAAATGGAGTGGCTTTCCTACGGCAGCTCTCTACAGTTTTTGATTCCCATCTCAGGGATAAGCCCACAAGAAGTACTGCACCGTGGTTGAGAAGGAAAAGGGAGAAAGGAATTTGAAATTCAGGTAATGAGTAATTTTGGAGCTTTTCTTTTGGGTGTTACGTCAAAGTGCAGCCGGGTGGTTACGGCGTGGAGGCCTCCAGTGGTGCGTGTACCAAGTTTGTCCTTGGCACCCTTGT